AATGGTGGATTCATGGGAGTCCTCGTCTACCAAGATGACGGTCAGGCACAAGGCCGAGGCAGAAGCGGGACTGGCAAGTCAGCCTAGAGCATTGAACAAAGTGGAGATCCAGGACCTTCTGGCGAAGTTCGAGGCGGTCCATGGCATCAAGCTGGAGGACAGGAGTGTGCCTGCCGCATCCACCTTGGAACAGATCTTCGACCAGGTGGAGCAAGGCGAACTGAAGAACATGAGCTTGGTGCAGTTCGTGAGCCGAGAAGACTCGGAGGCTGACGTGTTGGGCGCCACGATTGAGAAGGGTACGGGGGCACTGAAGGTGAAGAAGGGCTATGGCGAATGTCCAAAGCCCAGGACGCCCGAGGAGTTTGGACGCCGCATGGCGGTGGTCTCCCACTCGTACCTCTTGGCTCAATTGAAGTTCCCGCAGAAGGCCATCCTGCGGGACTTGCAGCCCATGCACTTTCTGAAGTACCTGGACCTGATGCTTGGTGAGCATGTCCTGGGCCTCAAGGCCAAGAACCAGGACGGAGAGACAGTGGCATCTCCGGAGTTCGATTTGGTCCTCTCCTATGACTTTCAGGTGAGGCGCTCCATGGTCAAGTTGGCGAACGAAGGTCGACTGCTCCACGAGGCCTTGAAGGAGTCCATGCTGGATACAACGATCAAAGAAAGGTACTTCTTGACACCGAATGTCTACTCACAGGTAGCAGGGCATGCAAGGCAGCCGCCTTGGAGATCCAGGAGCCCACCAACGGAACGTCAATGGGGAGCAGATCGCGGTCGAGACTGGGACAAGGGCAAAGGCAAGTCCAGAAAGGGCAGCACGAAAGGCAAAGGCAAGAAGGGAGGCAAACAGCTGCATGACCGCACCCCTGATGGACGTCAGATCTGCTGGCGTTGGAACAATCCCAAGGAGAGGTGCCGCTTCAACTGTGGTCGCCTGCATGTGTGCCAGATTTGCTTCGGTCAGCATCCAATGCACGCGTGCGATGGCAGTGGCAAGAGCAAGGATACCTCTGGGGGAGTCTCAGAGGGAGGAGGAAAGGGCGCCTGACGGCGCGAGAAGGTGGATCCGGCCCCAGATCCGCCGGTGACAGGGGACACAACGAGGGGCACACGTCAAGAGGAGGCCATGAACGTGCTCTACCTCTTCAGTGGAGCACAGAGGAAGTCATCAGTGACATCTGTGCTGCAAGACCTTTGCCGAAACAAAGGGCTTCGATGCAAGCTGCGCGACGTCGATATCCAGAACTCTCCAGACTGGGACCTGACAAAGGGAGCCGTGCAGCAGGCACTTCTTGACAGGATCAAGAAAGGAGAGTTCGACGTGGTCTTGGTGACACCTCCGTGTTCAACTTGGTCACGGGTGAGAGGAGCTAACTGCAGAGGCCCACCAGCGATTCGCTCAAAAGACTATCCGTGGGGGTTTCCGTGGTTGTCGTCACGCCACCAGAAGGATGCAGAGTTGGGCAACATCCTCATTGTCTTCATGCTAGAGGTGCTTGAGACCTTGGGGGATCACCCAGTGGCCGCTTCGGGCCGAGCGATTATCATCTTTGGAGAGCACCCTGAGGATCTTGGAGTGATTCGGCGGGAAGAAGACGGCATGATCATGGAGCCGGCTTCCATCTGGCAGCTGCACCGCATGCGAGTCCTTCTCTTTGAGCGTGCCGCCCTGAACCTCAGTGTTGCTGGGGGGCACCATACCGCAAGCCTACTCGTCTCATCACAAACCTTCAGGCACTGCGGCAATGGGGTGCTTGCCAATGGCCAGTCTTCGATGCTTATCGCAACTACGTGGGGCCCATTCTCGAGTGCACCTGTCATCCCACGGTTACACTGGCCAGATCTCGAGAAGACACCACTTTCCGGACATCGAACACCTCCATCTATCCTATGGCCATGGATGCCGCCTTGGCCCAAGCTATTCTGGAGCAATGGGTTCATGCTCCCCTTCCAGCTAAAGAGGGGGAGGTGGAAGGGAAGCAACAGCACAAGCCGGTGGACCCAGGTGGAGGTAGAGAGAAAGGGCTAAAACGGAAGCTGGCGGAGGTCGACAAGCAAGAGAAGGAGAAGGTGGAGGCGGAGTCTAGCTCGAAGAGGGTGGCCCCAGCTTCTGGACCGCCCATTCAGGTCAGCTACAAGGGCGAAACCAGGGCCCTCCATGATGGAGCAGGTCTTTGCTCTCCTGGTCGATGGCCGGTGGCGAAGAGGAGGTTGCCTGTCACGGAGAGAGAGAGGGCCACGATTTCGTGGTTTGAAGAATCATTCGAGTCCTGGTTGTCGACGATTGGAGCGGACAAGGCGAAGGAGATCTTCTGGTCTATGGCGGCAGGGAAGGTCAAGGAGTCTCCGTTTGGAGAAGAGATGGCGGAGGCGAGAAGGGCCTTAGATGAGCATCTGGGCCGATGGGGCTTGAACCCGTGCCGTGCAGAAGGAGACCGGCAATCAGAGATCAACTTCAGAAGATTGCGGGCACTGGCTGAGGCCCTCGAGGACGAGGATTTCGAGTTCCTGGGCGAGGTAGCCGAGAGGGGAGTCAGGCTCGGGGTGGATTTGGAGATGCCTCGAACTCCTCTGGTCTACGAAGAGAAGACCAAATGGACGGTGGATGCCACCGACGAAGTGATGAGGGACATTCTGGCAGACAACTATGAGTCCGCGGAAGAGAATGCGGAAGACATCGCCAGACAGGTCCTTCAGGAGGTTGAGAACGGCACGATAGTCAGAATGATGGAGCACGAAGCCAAGAGAAGGTTCCGGGGCAGACTGGCAGTTGCAGCCCTAGGTGCAGTGCCCAAAGAGCTCGGTACCAAGAAGGTGAGGCTCATCCACGACGGCGCGTACAGCGTGGACGTCAACCGCAGGATCAGGGTGCGGGACAAGATGAGGTTTCCATTGATCGACGACGCCACGGCCGTGTTGAGACAAGTGCAGGCGGAGGTCGACAGAGATCGGGGAGGCATTCGCTTCTCGTTGCTGTACGACATAGCAAGAGCTCACAAGTTGATACCGGTGGATGAGCAGGACTGGGGCCTTCAAGCGTTCAGGTTGCCAGGTGACAAGTCCGGGGACATCTTCGTGCACACGAGGGCACCTTTGGTGTGGCCAGCGCCGCCTACTGGTGTGGAAGGGTCATTGCAGTGGCCGTGAGGTGCAGTCACCGATTGTTGGGTCGGCGCTTCGGGCTTTTGCATTTGATCTATGCGGATGATGGGTGGCTGGCGGCAGTCGGCAAGGACTTCTGGCGGAGGATGATGATGTGGTTCTTCGTGTACGAGCTCCTTGAGATACCTGTCACTTGGGCGAAGGTCAGAGGAGGCACAGAGGTAAACTGGATTGGCTACTGCTTGAACATCCACACCTACCAGAAGGGGATCAACCTGTCTAAGAGGACGTGGATAGTCAGCTGGATAGAGAACAAGCTGGAGCAGGGCGGTGTGGTTGGAAGAGAGCTGAAGTCGGTGTTGGGGCGACTGAGCTTTGTGGCTGGAGCGCTACGACATGTGAGGCCTTTTCTTGCCCCATTGTTCTCTTGGGCATCAGCTCTCTCGCCGGGGACGTTCTCCAAGCTGCCAGATGCCGTGATCATCCTCTTGGAGTTCGTGAAGGAGGAGGTGCAAAGGAGGCCCATGCGGCCGGCTGAGCCGCTGGAGAAGGATCCAGTGGACATCTTTCGCGTGGACGCCAAGGCTGCAGGGGAGGACATTGTGATCGGCGGCTGGGAGACCGGCGCAGCTCCAGACACGGAGTCTGCGAAGTGGTTCTCCTTCAGGCTGAACCGAAGGGTGGCGCCCTGGGCCTATCTGAAAGGTGACCCCTTTCGGAATATAGCCACCCTTGAGCTGATCGGGGTGCTGGTGGCAGTCATGGTGCTGGCTCCGAGTTCCACTTGGGCAAGCGGAAGTGCAGCCGTGACGTTGACGGCTTTGACTGACAACTTGGCCAACACCCACGTGCTAAGGAGATACGGCTCCAGCCGGTACCCCATGTCGATCGTGGCTATGGAGCTGGCGGTTCAACTGGACATTGTCGGCGTCGACTTGCAACTGCAATGGGTACCTCGGGCGCAAAACCAACCAGCTGACGACCTCACCAATGACAGGTTTGATGATTTCCGAGATCAGAACAGGATCGAGGTAGATTTCGAGAAGCTGCCTTTCAAGGTCACGGACAGGCTTCTCGACAAGGCAGGTCAGCTGGATGCGGAGCTCAGGCTTTTCAAAACCTCGAAGGAGGCCAAGCTGGCGCAGTTGAAAGAAGCTTCGATGGCGGCTGGAGGCAAGAAGAAGAAGGGCGAACTACGGTGGAAAGATCCTTGGTGAGGACGGACGGGAGTTTAAAATTGAATTGTTTAAGAGTTTAAAACCTCCACCGTAGGTCCTTTGTGGTAGTAAGGTTAAGCTGGGAGCAAGGTTGTGCAGACCCATCTTCCAGCTAAAGAAGGGGGAATAGGAACGATAAGTCGCACATGAAACCTCTCTAACTTGAATAGGGAGGCTTGAGTCATG